CAATATACACAAAACCATACAAGAAAGTTTTCACTTGTAACAAGTACATCTATTACTGATCTATCTGTAAAAGTGTAATGCAGCTTGATTTACATTCACATTGAAAATTTTGTTTGGTGCTTGATCTCTAGTCACCCTAACCCTGTCATTTGTTCAATAGAGTTTAACAAGAGGGGTTTAAATTTCCACAGCTACAGTCAGGCAACCTGGGAGGAATGTGCCAGAATATGCCCCCTTTTTGACTTGTGATGCAAAGGCTAAAATAATACTTCATACATACTTTTTTCAAAAAAAGTAAGTGCACTTGTACCAACTCATCTATTTCGGTTCTAATTTTCTCCATAACATGGGGGTTGGATGGCCGAATTTTTAGCACGTGCGCACTGTATCATAAAGCCTGTCATTGAGTCAACAGGCTTGGTTTCGAATCCCCGGTTGTACGTGACAAGGAGTAGGGTCGCCTGTCCAACCTCGTGGGTTTTCTCTGGGTCCTCCCCTTTCCTCCCACTGTTAAAGACCCCTACGCGCAAGCGAATTATTGAAATAAAAAAATTAAACCATATGTTAGTCCCAAAATGACCTAATTTGTGTCGACTGGACGTTAAATCCCATTTCTCTCTCTCCATAACAACTTGTTGGGTATGAGTACTGCACATTGTATTTCACCTCAATAATGAAGACACAGTCTTAACCATAGTGGTCTTCTGTCTTTGACTGAATGGACTTCTCTATTGGTCTGAGTGGAGTAGTAGACCTTGGTCTGGGTTGTCATGCATTTGGGAGAATATCTTCATCAGCTTGCATTTGCAAGAAATATGATCCGATCCCCTTAAAAAAATTAACCAGACCTTTTTTTTTTTTTTTTTTTGCTGCTGCTGCTTGTTTCTAAACATCACTTTCTTCAACAATTTAGGAATCGTAATAATGGTTCATACAGTTTGGTAACGTGGAATGTGATAAGTAGGCCTTGTAGCCTCTACCATACCCCAGTCCAATGAGAGTTTTGTCTGCACATTCCTGACTGGAGTTCTGATTCAGCTTTGTCCAGCAAATCGGCATTTGTCTCCGGTACATTTCCATCTAATTTGATCCACTGGTTAGCACATACCTTAAATTTTTATCCAGCTTGTCGCAGTGAACGGTTTTAGCTCAGTGTTTTAACAAAATGTACTCGAGCTATGCAGTTTTACTTAAGCTATCCTCCCGCCATGTACCGTTATAACAAAACGTAAACAAAGAGCAGGTACCCTTTCACCACATGACCTGTTGAACTTTTCGTCGTGTATGTTTGATTGGCCAATTATGTCAAGTGATCTGTTTAAACCGAGTCACCGCGAAATTCAAATACCATTGCACATTGACAAGTAAGCCCATATTTAATTTACGTTTTCTATTAAACGTCAAAGAATTCATAAAAGAAAAGTTGTGTGACAATACAAAGTCATACTAGAACAATTAGTTGATGTAGTTTTTTTTCACCCGAAAATGGTCGGGACGGAGAAACAGAAGCAAGCTAGCTAGAAATTTCACACCACGGCCTAATCCTACATGGATGAAAGAACGTATCACCGGGACTGCACGTATTTAAGCCCAGGGCTTAAATACGGATTTTGCCTGTTTTCATCAGGTAACATTTTAGTCGAATTTAAGCCCAGGGCTTAAAAACGAAAAACTAGCAAAAACAATCAAAACATGTAGAATATTCAAAGTTTAATAAAGACAGCATTTTCATGATCTAAAAAAAAATGAAAATTGTCAAGTTTGGTTTTAACAATTAACTTGGCGTCATTAAGTTCTCAAAAATGTTATCTTATCCACGCAAACGGAATGCATGTGCACCACATCAAACATATCAACAAATATCCGTTAAGGGAGACCACTCTAATTCAATAATCTAATATACGCCCATGGGCTTAAAAACGTTTTTTTTGCACGTTATTAAGCCCATGCATAACGGGTGGGCTTAAATACGTGCAGTCCCGGCAACTATGTAACTTTACATTATCTGGTTGTGTTCATAATAATAATAATATTCTTATTCCAATCTTCATCAGAAGATACATGAATATATAAAATACATAATAACATACAGTCGAACATGACAATCAATCTTTTAAACATTTACCTACAGCCATTTACACTTAATTTATCGTGAATTAAAGCTTATTTACTAAAGTGATTTAATATAACTGATATAAATTTACATAATTTGATTAAGTTTGTGCCTTTAACATTAAATAAATCTTTCATTTTATAGGTTGAGGGTGATCTGTTATAGAAACGAGTTAAATATAAAGCCCTGTCCTTGAGAAAAAAAGAACATTTGAATATGTAGTGAAATTTGTCACCAACTTCATTTTTATTACATAATGTACAGATTCTATTTTCTTTAGATATGTTTATAAAAGAGCCAGTTTCTATTGGTAGCAAATGACTCCTGCAACGAAATCGCGTCAAACTAACGCGGTATTTCCTAGGCAGGCTTCCGAGGTATTCTTCAAATATAAGACAATCTTTAAATATTCTGTAGTTAAGACATTTGCTTCGGGTCCGATGGTGGTAAGAACATCATTCTTGGTATACAGAGTAGCTAGGCATGCTTTTATTGAACATTTCCAATGGATGGCATTTGGTCTACTGGACTTTATTTGGTATATGTAGACATTGTGTAGTAAATGTTGTCAACATTGTGGGTTTATATATTATTCACGAATATACGTTAAACAAACCGTTGATAAGAAAAGCACATGTAATAAATTTATATTATCCAGCTTTTAAGGATACATTATGGAATATTAGATGAAGAGCTATAAGGGTGTTTTTTTATCAGTAAAGTAACCAGGAAAATAAATCTAGATAATAGTGTATTCAAAATAACCTATGCCTCGTCACCCTGTTATCTAATACGTCAACTTCTTGTCAGAATGTTTTATATCAAACCTATCCAAATAAAGCTAATAATACTACGCCGAGGGCTATACACCAATTTTTGTTTATTCAACTTCTCTACTTCAGAGAGTGCAGTAAAGATAGATTATGGGAAATTAGATAAAGATTTGTCTGTTCTCCCTATAACAGTTAAAAAATAGATAACGTAAATAGAAAATGATGAAGATTTCAGTCAAATCGCTTCACTCTGAACCGAGATATTTGCTTTTGAATTTAAAACCTAACCTCGATCATCATTACTAAGGTCGGTACGATTAAAAAAAACATAAGTCTCTCTTATCCAGGAGTGGATTCCAATCCAGTGAAAATCCAACACATAAGATGACAACGGGAGTTGATTATGGTCTGGTTAAGTTAATCAATGTCTAATAAATAGTTTATATAACATTTCAGGCCAGAAGAAAGGCCTGCAATAGGCAGATTTATCTCTGGTATAATGCATGTTTAACATATATTATTTTGAATTTTATCTTGACCATAGGCTATTTAAATTTAAGTAAAACTTGAATTGGGCGCATGAAGGTTTTATAGGCCTGTGTTTCAAAATGAAATAAAACTAAGTCGGGAGGATACGATTGACAAGGAACCGAGGTATCCCCCATCTTGGAATTGTGACATGGTATCAAATATCGAGTTTTGGTCCGAACTCAACCGACATTAGGATGTAACGGTGAAATATTTAAACTTTTTTGTTTTTGTTTTTTAAATCGGATAAAAATGTGACCTTTAGAGGAAACACAAGCTGAAAACGCGACTTTTGGTACATTCAGTGGCCATAACCCACTTAACAATATGATGTTAAATTTACGTAAAAATGGTCAGTCAGTTTACCATCATTTTGCTCATCATTTTAACAATAACTTTGCGTCAGGAAATGACGTTAATCGAACGTAAAGTTTACGTCATTTTTGCGTTATATTTACGTCATTTTCTGGCGCAAATCTAACGTAAAGTTTACGTCATTTTGACACTAATCTAACGTAACGTTAATGTCATTTATGACGTAAATCTAACGTAAATTTTGCGTTAAGTTTACGTCAATTACGTTTGATTTACGTCATGACATAAACTTTACGTTAGATTTGCGCCAGAAAATGACGTAAATATAACGTAAAAATGAGGTAAACTTTACATTAGATTAATGTCATTTCCTGAAGTAAAATTATCGTTAAAATAATGAGCAAAATGATAATAAACTTACCGACCATTTTTGCGTAAATATAACTCTAACTTTTGACGTTAGTCTAACATTTAAACAATAATCAAAATGACGATTTTTAATGTAAATCGAAGCCATAGTGACTCAATAAGTACGAATTGGCTTGCTAATCTGGAGGTCCCATGCTTGACCACTGCGTTGGCCGATAAAGTTCATCGGGATTTTCTGGCAGGTTTCCCCTGTCAGTCCTGGCAAGGGACAATTATGTATAGTCATTCAGATGAAACGAAAAACCCAAGTTACATGTACGTACCGTGTACACATTGGGTGCACATAAAAGAACCCTTAATAGTTGGAATTTGAAATTTCCCTCAATATGTCTGTCTTCATTAGCTCAGTTAAAAACCCATTTCATTTCAATGTAAACCTAACATTAAATAAACTTCACCTTTTTTGAAAATCTTTAAAGCGGAAATTGCAAATGTTTAAGTTATATTTTTAAAATTTATTAAAATAAAGCCTGAAAATAGATGGTATCCATAAACAGTCCTACCTTGTAAAAGAATAATCCTATTAATCCTATAATTCACGATTGCCAGCTGAGAAATTGGCAAAAAATATCATTTTCCTCTTCATTTTCAAACGTTTGAAAAAAGCCACTCCATGGTGGAGAATAGAAAACAAGGGAGGAAATTGGGAGGTAATTGTGTTATTATTTCCTGTGTAAATGAGTTTTAAGTGTGAGAATGACACCTATGATCGTATAATTGTGAGTTGACAACCTATTGAGCAAAAATCATAGAAAATTTGAAATTCTCGCTTTAATGAGCATAGCCTTTTCAAATCCCTTCGCAAACTTATATAATTACAACAAACACTGTCAATATACTTTTAAATTTTATTTAAAAATATATATTTAAGAATTAACAGCACTCAAACATCCTGAAATAGTGATAATTGAGAAACGGTTTAACAAAAAGTCTTTATAACACTTATAAAAATTAAGATTCATTTTCTTTGACTTCTTAAATAACAAGAATACTAGCACTGTGATAAAGAAGCCATATACATAAATTAAAATAGTATTATCAATAAAACAAAGTTTCAAACATAGACTGAATATTAGCACAATAAAGGACCCCCAACCCCAAATCGAAATATGACTATAAAAAAAGAATCTATAACATAAACAGTATATAGTATACAAATATAATAGACCTAATCACACTCAAGCACTGCCGTAACGAAAGCAAATTTCTGTTCCAAATTATGACTGGTCAATAGTCCGATTAACAACCAATGCCTAACTGCGTAACAATGTAATTCGGGTTGAAACATAGCTCCACATTGTTTACATAACGTTACGTCATGACTTACGAAATATTTACGCACGATTAGCCAGTGCTAAGCAGAAAAACTATTTGCATGACACACGAGCCTATCAACGGTTACAATATAAACAATACGCATGCGCTAACTATTCGCCCCCTCCCCGCCTTATTTCGTTCACAGGCAAACATAAGACAATGGTTGAAATTTGCAAAGTATGAACCTTCAAGGGTCTTTAGCAGTGGGGGGAAACCGGAGGACCCGGAGAAAACCCACGAGGTTAGACAGGCGACCCTACTCCTTGTCACGTACAACCGGGGAATCGAAACCCCGCCAGCGCGCATGTGCTTACCATTTGGCCATCCAACCCCCCTAAAGTCACAGAATGTTGAATATCGATGGGATTCGACCTCTAATGGCCACATTGCTTCACACCAAATTTGCAGAAAATGTCAAACGTCAATAGCTCCAGCTTATATCCGACACAGTGGAAGAACTTAGGAAAGGAAAATCACGGAACGTTGATAGGGTTCACTCTCTTATGAGCACAATGCTTCCCATCAAATTTGAAAAAGCTCCATTACAAACTACAACCTCAATCGCGTTCAAAAGGTTTGGGAAATGAGGGCATAGGTACAAATGTCGGGCAATGCTGAATATCTATAGGGTTCATCCTCTCAAAACCGTGGCATCTTTCACGTTCACACGTTAATTGTTGATGGACGGGTGTAAAGGGTAGATAAATTAAACATATATTTATTGTTTGTGTACATGCTGTACAGATCAACCGTCACCCACCCCACTCCAACTGGCAACTGTTGTCCAGCGTGTCCATGGGTGAAGACGACCCTGGCTGTACACACTATTTGAACATTGTTTAATGTTCACCAGACCGAATCTTTTTAGCATCGAATAAGGCTGTTAAAAAGAAATACAGTTTTCTCTGTAAACTATACTCTTCAAAAAAAGTAGGTGATATTGAAATGCAAATACCTAGGCAGGTTGTGATATGATAAATAGTCATTGACACTTGACATGCTCTGAGGGTATGTTCACAGATGATACACGTGGGAGGGGTTCATTGTCAAATTTGACACTTCAAAGAAGGGTTGATGAAAACTGCCGTTTGCTGGTTTATCCTATCCATGTTTGCTTTCCTATCGGTTCTTGCATAATATTTACTGTTTAGCGTATCTTTGTTTTAGTGTGTTACGTTTAATTTGACCGGGGGAAGTGTTCGTCGACGTCAGCGTCAACCGACAACACTGCAAGAATTGGCCGTGGCATTGCAATGGGAGTGGGTCAGATTGACCCAAATCGTGATTGGACGGTTGATTAGAAGCATGGCACGACGAATTGCTGAATGTCTGAGGATTGGTGGAGCAATTACTCATTATTAAGACAAAAATCAAAAAGGTCCATTTTCACTTTTGACAGTGTATCTCTTTGCGAGTGAAATGGGGCCGTCAGATAAGTCACCCATATGAACTGTTTATGTTCATGTGTAGGCAATTGGCCTGTTATTCACATACACTGGTTACCTCTAATAAAAACAGCAGTGCACTTCCGCAGTTTTGTATTGTTTCTGAATATCCCCTACTATTTTTTTAAGAGTATATACAGAATCCAATTTGGGCTAAATCTCTCATGTTGTGCCCAGAATTACCCCCCCCCCCCCCGACACTCATTACATTATATTAAAAATAAATACTGAAAGTTACGGCTTAGAACATATATTTTAATCAATATTCAACAAGCAGGGGAATTGTAGCCTAAAGTTAGACTCATCTAATCTAACCAAAATCATTTAGTAGAAAAATTAAACAAATCCAGCTAAGGCCATTTGAAATTTACATTAACGACACTTTAAAAAGTTACTGCACAAACGAGGTCAGTGAAACATTGTAAATAACCCCTAATTTACAAATTTTGCGATCCCATTTCATGGGTATTTCTTTTCCATTTCCTGGGATAGCACGCTTGAAAACAATTCCCATTTCATGGGCTGGCACACATTAAACTGTTTTCTAATATTCCAAGTTGAACTTGGGTATTTATGTAATTCCATAATTAAACAATTGACAATATTCACTTTGTTAAGTTTCTTTCAGAAAATAAATACGGTACATATTGCGTACAGAAAAACTCTTTTCCGGTCCGTTTTTTTAACTCGGGTCCAAATTTAAAAGGATGTAAAAAGAAAATTGAAGGTTTAAAAAATGAATATGTTCTGCTCTTTTGTGCCCCAGTCCACAGATAAGCGCCTGGTAACTTAAACACATTTTCTTCTGGTTGCATACCGAACACAATACTATGTACAGCTATTTCTAAAAATATAGAATGGTTAGAAAATAACTCTAAATAGAATAAGGCATCATCTTTCAAAATTTTAGGAATATAGACAATATCGGAACCTCCATAAGGCACACCGTCATCGCAGCCCGTATTTCGAATGAAATTATGTTTAAATCTTTCATAACGCTCACTATAGTTTGTTTCGAGGACGTTTAACAAACGTTTCATTGCCTCTCGGCCATAAAATGCATCCCAATGAACCCATCCCGGTTTCTTCATACTAAGACGCGCATAATTTCCTTTGGGTAGCCACATTTTATTTTTGGGATATGATTGTATCCGCCATGGATTGATTAATACGTCATCACCTATGAGGAGATAACCCTCAACGTCATAGTTCATCCGCATCACTTTTTCCATACACCGATAAAAATAAGCTCCATTCAGCATGTATTTATGCCCGAGCTCAATAAACGTGACGTTAAATCCAAACTCAGCAGACTTATTCCGGAACTGGTCAATATGAGAACCACAATAAACTATTTTTGAAAACGAATAACTGTATGTTTTGTGAAGTGAGGGGATGTTGCCATAATGAGGAAAATTAAATATGACCAATAATAAAATATTTTCTGATTTTTGACTTGGTTTGACTGACTTTGTCATGTTTGGACAAATTGTAGACATGGCGGTCACGTGTTCGGGAAGAGTCAATGTCCTTTTGGGTCGAGTGTATATAACCCTGCTTTCGTTTAAACTTAACTCTGTTTTACTTCCGTCCACTATAACTTTCCATTCAACGCGTGGTGGTTCCCTGTAACCATGAGAAGATAGGTCCTCCAGCCACGCTTCTACCAAAGCGGTATTTTGTGAATCAAAGAAACCAAATGTCTTGTTTCGAGCTAAATCTTTTGTAATTTGGATCATGCACTCAAAGAAGGAACACGATGAAGCGCACCTCCATTTCAGAAGAAAATTTAAAAGTAAACGTTTTTCTTTTCGGGCGATTGATGCCTGTTGGGCAGAAGCCAACACAGGACTTCTGGATTCGATAATGGCACTAGGAGAATAAAATCCAACAGTTCCACCTATTTCCCACAAAAGTCGTTGATTGATGAGATTTCTACAGACGTCGCTAAGGTGCATCGGGCTGGTTTGTGGTGTGAAGAGGGCCCATAGTGCTTCATGTGTATAGAGAGTATTTTTGATAGAAAAATAGGAAAAAACACCAGGAGATAAAAAGACAGGTGGCGCTCTGTTGGTGAGGTTTACTGGCTTGGCGATCCCAGGATCACTATACACAACCATACCATGTTTTATCAACGGATGAACTTGTCGTAAACGATATGAGCAACTCTGATCTGTATAAAAATGTATATGAGGCTTAAAATAAGCACTTTTAAAATAGACCAGTCCATATTCTCTCCAACTCTTTTCTGTACGATGTGTTGGGTTTTGCAATTGTATACTATTTAAATTTACGCCAGGGCCAATTTCGTAAATTTGCAGTGCGCCATTAGCGATCGCATACAGATAACAGAGAATCCTCCAATCGCCAAGATTCCTTGATTCATTTTCGGAACTTTGTAATTCTGTTACATTACCACGACGCTCAAAACCATTTCTGGAAAAGTAAAACAAATATTGTTATGGATATTATATAAATACCAGATAATAATATTACAGAGGGAAACTGAAATGAAATGAAATGGAGTTTAACGTCTTACTGTTCTGCTCCTAACCTGGGCTAATGAAGACGGGCATACGCCATACAGTGTGCTATGTGGGAAATTTTGCCCGGACAGCGGCACTACGGCCTACTCTTATATCGAATACCAACTGCCAAGGGATCTTTTACGTGCACGCCAATGTGTACACGGGACCTCGGTTTTTCGTCCCATCCGAACGACTAGACAGCTTCCCTTGTCAGCCCCTCCGTCCTGCATCACTGACAAGGGAGAACCACGCCGGAAAATCTGGATGAACTTTCTCGGCCAATGCAGGGATCGAACAACCGACCTCCAGGCTAGCGAGCTAGCGTCTTACCCACTTAGCCACGTGATCCCCACAGAGGGAAACCAATCCAAACTAGGTCAGTGTGGGTTTTAACTATGACAAGTAGCAAAAATAAACAGTGTGAGCTATGTTTTATAAATTGTTGATACCAATTGGAGTAAAATACAGATCTATATTTCGTTTCGTTTTTTTTATACTTTCGATGGCCTACACTACATGAAGATTGGTCTCGGTCACCCAAAACCTCCTGGGACCGTTGTCAATATTTGACGAAATGTTCCATTGCCTATGCGTAACCGGGAGTTTGGTTTTTAATGTGATTGATTATCCAGTATCTTATTCATTCAAAGGCGCCATTTTGGGTCCCAACTATGACGCCACAAAAACGTCATGGCGTCATACAACTTTACTTAACATTACAAAACGTTTTATTTACTTCTTGCAGTATTATATAGGTGGGAAGGGATACGATTTTATCTTAAACAAAGTGCATCAGTGCAGTTTGGTTCAATGATATGTCAGACAAAATCATACTCAAAATCTGTCGAATTCGGCCATGACAAAATGACGTAATCAACATAATTCAATATGGCGGTTTCAAGAATTTTCGGAGAGCGATATCTCGTAATCAGTGTGTTTTAGTGGTGGAAGGGTAAATAATTTCTTTTTAAATTCCCCAAACACAGAGCGAGTATCCAAGCGACATGTGCCGAAAAGTCGAATTTGACAAACATCAATTAAAAAAACGTATTTTTCATATGATGCCGTGCATTTCTTTCAAAATGGACTGCCAAATTTGGTAATATAATGCGATTAAAAAAACAACAACATAGATATGGTAATAAAAGGCCAACGATAATCTCGTGAGATATGACTTTTGCTATGTCTTTTATATGGTTTTCTATGTCCGAATTTAAAGATAAATTTCTTAAATCAAATATGGCAGCAACACAAATTGGCAGATGTTAATTTAATCTCCGGATTGCATACTGATCTCAAAAATGAATCCATGATGGCAGAAGTTCAAAATGACCTGAAAAATTTAATTCAAAATTGCAGAATTTGGTAATATATCTTATATATATGTTTTGGAGTTGTTGGTTCAACACTGATCTCAAAAATACATTTCTAGAATTCTGATTGACAGGCCAGGATAATCAAGACTACTTTTTTACGAAACATGACAGAAAGCTAGAACAAGAAATTGAATTTACAAATAACGCCCGGTGGGCGACACAATAATTGTTTTAAGAACCTTGTAAAAGTAAAATGAAACTACTGCTAGTATCATTTTCCTGCCCAACCCGCGTTATTCAGAGATATTATTTGTACTAAACCAAAAGATGGCACTCCTCACGGTCTAGTTAATGATAAAGCAATTTAAAAAATAAAACGAGCGTAATTTCTAAAGCTGCAGTAATAACAAAAAAGCTAAATATTACTGCTATTCAGAATCGTCAACAATAGATTTTTTACGCCTGTAATAGTTATTACAAGTCACAAAGAGAGTCCGAGACTCGTCTGAAATCAATTAGAGTTACATCACTGAAGCGTGCACATTCAACGTGTCGAGTACAACTTTTAGTACAGAAAAGTTTCGGCCACGGGGCACCCTACCATGATGTATCCTGCAGGTCGTATTGAGTCCTCAAACAGCTTTCTGTTATGTAAAAAGGTAGTCTTGATTATCCCGGCCTGTCAATCAGGCGTAGAATGGTCGGTAGACTAATTTCAAATCAGGTGCCCGGATGTTATAGCCGACACTCGTAACCATCTTTCAGTGTATTATTTATGGATGGTTAAATGGTCATAGCTTATTAAGTACAACATGACCGTTTATTTAGTGACTATAAATGTGCGAAATTGATTTAACGCTTGGTGTATATATAAATATTGTGGTGTAATTGTCGAGATATTTGGAGATATTTATTTATGGTGGGTCACCCTACATCTATGTTGCATATACATAACCTTTCAGTTGAATAATATATCATTTGTTATGTTCATACGTATTTGTCAACATCAAAGTGAGCTTGTTCCATTAACCTATTCAGATTTATTCAGGTAAACTTGGTACTAAACTTTCATTTTTCCGATATAACTGGCGATAATCTCGTAAGATTTGACTTTTACTTTGTCTTTTAAATGGATTTCGATGTCTTTGAATTAAAGGTAACCGTCGAGTGCAGAAGTCGTGAAACACGCCATCGGTGGATTTATTGGGGCCTGTCTGTCCCATAAAATTGATGAAAATTACAAGCCGGAAAACGCGTTTTCTTGCTACGTAGTTCAGGACGTGAATAAAGCAACCTGAAAGTGGTCCATTATAATGAAGACATCTGAACTCCCGTATTAACAAATCAGTCACAACCCCTGAAATGCCCTTTTTTGGGGTCCAGACGTGCTTGAGATGATACTTAACAAAAGAACATGCATAAAAATAAAAAATAATGACTTTGGAATTTTTAACTTTGGAAAATATGAAGCAATATACCATTCAGCACTGCGCAGCTACAGGGTAAACAACTTAACATGGGAAATCACGAAGTCTCACAGAGATTGTAAATACTGCATTACAATTTCCCTGAAACTGCTTTTGGTTTTCTGCAATTTTTTATAATGAATACAAATTGCTATCATTTGTATTACCTCTTAATTCACCCCTTGAAACTTTGTGCCAGGAAGCATAAAGATGCACTGACAATTAAAGATTGAACATTTTTACTAATTTTTACAGTAAAATAATTTGTTATAAATTTTATTCAATATTTATTCACACTCAACACATTGTTTAATCTTAGATTGTACACTAATAGTCCACTATTGAATGTGGAAAGGTCCAGCTGAATGATTGATTGGAAAATATGATGTGTTTCAAATGGTACTCCATAGAAATGAATTTGCCCCACAAAAATTATATCTAGGTAACAAATTCTATATCAGACCCTCAAAATGATTATTATTCTATCATAAATGAATAATAATCTATCGAAAATTTAGAAACAAACCTTTTTGCTAACATTTACCAACACTTGACAACGGCAGCCATGATAGCTTAGATTTTGACAGTTCTGTTTTCATCAATTTACAGAACGGTCCATATGAATAATGTTGACAGTTCTTGCAAATGAAACGCAATAGTCTATAATATTACGATTTACCACCTGATGTAAGGATAATTGTGATAGTATAAGTCAAAAAAGTATTTACTGCATTTTTATTTACCTTTCTGTGTCGAACTACCGCTCAAAGGAAGTGTTGCTCGCATCAATGAGTTCATGCATGACTTATTTTTTTAATATTATCAAATCCCGTAAATGACACCTCATTTGTAGTTTGATATGAATTTATCGTATTCCGCAGTTGTTTAAATTAAAAAAAATAAAAATTTGTATTTAAAATTAACCCTTTGCTCATTGATATTAGCATAAGGTCAAGGACATACCAGATATTCGGACACGAAAGCTACCTACGAAACATTGTTTACATTTATACAACGGCGAAATGTGTTATTACTAAAGGGAATACGACATAATTGTATGCATGGTGAGGTAAATAAAACCTTTGCGTATCTATACAAAGTTCCGCTAAGCGTTGTCAGTTTATCGATTATTCGCATCACTCGTCTAAAGATATGAAGGGTCATTTTCAAGATTGTAAAAAAAAAATGGCGGATCCGAAATCCGTGGTAGCAAGGCGTGGAAATATCACACTACGTGGAAATAGGAAAGCAACTCGAAAAGCTAAGACTCGACTACTGTACTACATAGATCAGAGTATAAATAGGGAGATAATAGCTGTCCCCAAGTTTTATTGTTTTGTCTGTAGGCGTAACCGCGATTGTGCAAGAAAGTGATGGAACTGAAATTTTCGTACGTGATAACACGCGAATGTATGAATTAGGGGTATTGACAGTGAAATAGTGTATTGTGAGTAGTAGAGTTTATTTTGGACGTTTGTATCCAAGCGCCACTATTCTGTGTTGGGAAATAATATCTTCAGTCTTGTTGATGTTGAGACTACTATGCAACAAGATGGTGTCACTTTACCTTTTCCTTGAAGGGTTTTCCCCCACAAAATATTATCTTAATTTTGTTTTTCGCTTTACCAGCCTGCACAAAAAATCCGATTTTTAAAAGCGTATGCAAGTTAACTATCTTTAATAGCGCTTTTATCTGGTGTATCTTTTATTTTTGGGTAAGACGCTAGCTCGCTAGCCTGGAGGTCGGGTGTTCGATCCCTGCATTGGCCGAGAAAGTTCATCTAGATTTTCCGGCGTGGTTCTCCCTTGTCAGTGATGCAGGACGGAGGGGCTGACAAGGAAAGCTGTCTAGTCGTTCGGATGGGACGAAAAACCGAGGTTCCGTGTACACATTGGCGTGCACGTAAAAGATCCCTTGGCAGTTGGAATTCGATATAAGAGTAGGCCGTAGTGCCGCTGTCCGGGCAAAATTTCCCTCATAGCACACTGTATGGCGTATGCCCGTCTTCATTAGCCCAGGTTAGGAGCAGAACAGTAGGACGTTCAACTCCATTTCATTTCATTTCATCTTTTATTATGAATTCAATTTAGATTAGATCTATAGGATGTGCGTTTCTAGTTGTATA